CTCCTGTCCACCTTACCACCTGAGCTGCTGAAATGCAGGGCCAGTGCAGCCAGGGGGTCTGAGGAACAGAACCATGTCCAGCTTCTGATGCCTGGAAGTGTGGTTGGCAGAGGATTCTAAGATTCCGGCACTGGAGGAGGCTCCTACAGTGACCTAGGTTGTCATGGTTGCCCAGAACTGAGAAGAAAGCTGGGAGTGGGGATGCTCTCCCTTCTGCCTAGCCTCGAGGCAGCTTTTGTTTATCTCCGGGCCTTCAGCCTCAATAGCAGCCCTTGAAGCTGTTCTTCCTGCCTCTGGGAATTCCCAGATTTCCCCAGTCTTCTTGCTTCCTATAGTTTCCAGTGCTCTTTCCTGTATGACTTGGTACAAATTAGCACAATATACAAAATGAACATGGGTGCAGCAGTTCTAGAGGCCTCTGAGGCTGGCAGGTGGGAGCCATACCTGCTCTGGGCCTTGCCTAGGTTTTTCTAGTGAAACTTCAGTCTGAGCCACCCTCCACATGCCCCTACACCAGCCCTCCTGCCACCAGACTGGCAAGCACTCTTCAGAGGGTCCGTCCGCCTCTCAAGACTAGGCTTCAAACTCTCGGGACTAGACTTTAGAGTGGAAAGGCAGGGCTGATACAGTCCTGGCCTCCATCCCTGCCTTCGTACTTACTGGCTGTAGGAACCCACGGTGACTTCCCTCGACCTGTTTAACTCAGCCTGGAAAGGGATAGTCCCCGGTTGGGGTCTGCCCGCTTCTGTTAGGGAAGCTGGCGATGCTTAGCAGCCTTAACTGGTGCCCAGTGTGGGCACTGCCCTACTTCAGCCCCAGTTGCCAGGGAACCACTGGGTCCCTGGCTAACCTGGATTTCTCTATTGATGTTGCCTTTGTTGCTGCCTGGCACTGCCACTGCTGAGGAAGGCCTGTGTCCAGCTGTGTTTCCAGGCAACCCTTGCCTCTAGCGGCTTCAGGGCAGGCCACAGGCTGGGAAGCAGAATCTGCCTTCTTACCTGCCCTACCCCAGGTGGGCTCTGATCCCCCCCTCCCTCTCCCTCAGTGCCCTCACTTGGCTGGCAGCCTAGTTCACCTGCCCACCTAGAGGCAAATCACTCAGTGCTTTGCTTCCTCTGCTCAACCTCTCAGGGTTCCTGTAGGCCCTGGGAAAAGTGCAAGCTCAGCATGACTTGGGCTCTGCTTGCCAGTCTTCCCAGACTCCTCCTCTACACCTCACCCCTACCTTGCTAATCACCGATCATAACACTACAAAAGAGAATCTTCCTGAGCTTTACACTTGCTGGTCAGATGTGTGCCCGTTTTTAAAATTTACACATTGGGAAACTGAGGCACCGTGAAGTGTGGTGCATACTTATTTAGGGCTTACTCTGTGGCAGTCCTGTGCTGAGAATGGTGAATCCTCATGTTACCCTCCCATGAGCCCTCTGCACGGCCCCACAGCCTCACAGCCAGTGAAGAGCAGAGGGAGCAGGCTGTGTTCAGTGACGTGTCCCGAGGTTAGCTCCTCCACTAGCAATGTGTTCTTTCTGGCCTTCCTTCTCTGGCAGAGCTGGGTACTCTACTGAAGACCTCTCTTCTGCTTCTCACCCCCAGCACAGCACTGGGCATAAAGGACAGTTGTGGTGAGAAAGAGGCTGGGCAGATGGGGCCGTAGCTGAGGGGAGGTGGTGGTTGGGGCAGCCCACAGGAGGAAGTGACTTTGAACTTCACCCTGGAGGAAGAGTAGGTGTTGGCCAAAAGTTATAGGAGGGGTTTCTGGGCAGAGGAAACCACAGGTAACACACATCTCTGTGACTTGAAAGAAGCTTCAAGTAGCTGAGAAGGAAACTTAAGGTGACTGGTGTTTGTGTCAATCTCCCGTTTGTGCAAGGAGATTTTCCGAGTTGCATTGGGATGCCATTCTAAGGGTTGGAGAGCTGGCTCAGGTCACAAACACATCTGTCAGGACACCTAGGCTGCAGGTAAGGTTGGCTTAGAGGTCGGAAGAAGAGGGCAGCAGCTTTGGGAGATCTTTTGGAGTGTACTTGGGGGGCCTTGGCTGGGGCCAGGGGTAAACCCACAGATTCAGTTCCAGGAAAGAGGAAGCTGCCTGAGGCCTGGGCAAGTCTATAGCTTCCCCTTTCTGTGAGGCCTCTAGGCCAGCGGCTCCCTGGAGCAGCTTCCACTGGCAGCCTCTACCGCAGCTTGGATCCCTGTGGTAGCTTTGCTAGTTGGCTTGTACTCAAGGAATTTCTGTTCTAATTGCTTGGGCACTTCTCTGGAGGGCTAGGTTTAAGAAAGGCCCTCCCTCCCCGAGTCTCTGAGCCCATTTGGTAGAGGCTTCGAGTTCCATGCCTGGGTGGGGGGCTGGGCTTTGTGGTGAATAAAGCAGACATGCCTACCCTGACTGCTGTCTGGTTGGGGGACAAGCAGTGAACAAGCAAGCCAACAAATTCTTAATTACCACCCCCATGGGGGTGTGAGGAGGAAATCCCGTGACCCACTTGAGGCCAATTACCTGGGCCAAGCTTCAAGACAGGCTTCCATCACAGAAGATAAACAACCTGACCTGCAGATGAGGAAACTGAGGCTAGGGAAGCCCGGGGCTCAGGTCCCACAGGGGATTAGTGGCCGAGATGCTCGGGGCTAGGAGACCTGGAGGAGTGGCCTTTGGGTAACTTCCTTCTCAGCTAGAACTACCTCTTCAACCCTGTGTGGTAGGGAGGCCTCTCTCCCTCAGGTACCCTGGAGCTGGAAGGGCTTTGTGGGCTGTACCTTTCACTCTTGGGCTGCAGAGTTGCCATTTCTGTCATCTAACCTCCAGGCAGCTCTTAGGAGGTGTTGGGACTGGGGTATCACCGACTGCCTGGCCTTCTAGACAAGAGAAGCATGAGCACTCCTAGCCTGGGAGCTTCTTTGAGCTTGTTTCCCGTGGGTTTCTAGGGTAGCGTTTCGGCTTCTAGAGGACGAGGGCCGAGGTTGCAGCAGCAGGCGTGCACGTGTGCGCCTGCGGCTGCGCAGGCGGGCGGGGGTGGGGCTCAGTCTGGTTGAGAGGGGCCACGCAGCCAGACTGCAGTAAGTGCCAGTTTTGTGGTAATTAGAAGGTGCATAATTAGAAGGCAGGGGCCCTGGGCGGCGGCTGTCGGAGGGTATGCCTGAGTGGGCCCACTCTGGCTTTGAGGCTGGGCCTCTGGACCCTCATGGTCCTCCGGGAAGTCCCCAGATCACTGGCTTTCTGGCCTGTCTGAGATGGGCAGCTGAATAGCCTCTCCTTGTGGCTCAGGTCAGCTAGCAGGTGCAGCTAGGGTCCCGGTGGTCCTGGGCTTCTCTCCTCTGTGTGTTGCCTCTTGCTTTTCACCCCTTGTCTTAGCCCTCTGGACTGCCCGAGGACATGAAGGGCTTCTGGGGCTGGGAGCATGCTGTGGGGGCAACCCAAAGACTTAGGGTTTGTGGTCAGGTCTGTGACAGTGAAGGACTGGAGGAGCCATAGGAGGTGGTCTTGAGGGTACATGGAGTCCGGGAGGGTTAAAGGACACTATGGTGCAGAACCTGGAAGGCAGTTTTGTGACTGAATTTGAGGAAGGACAGGTCAAGGGATGAGTCAGGAGTGCCACCTGTTGGGTGTTGACTGCCACATGTGGCCTTTTCCTACTCTGGAGCCTGGCCTTCTCTATCTCTGGTTTTCCCCTTAGTTGGCCTGGAGCCCAAGAGGGGCCCGCTGCCAGTGACCTGGAGAGTCCCTGGATGATGTGATGGGAGCTCCTCCCCCTCCCCTGGGTGTAACTCGAACCCCTGGCCCTAGTCTTTGTGGGGCCAGGCCCGGGTCAGGTGGCAGATAGGTTTCCTCTGCTCCACTCTTATTTCCAGCCGGGAAGCCTGGCTACCAGCAGAGAGGGAGCTTTGTGACCTGGAACCTCCTGCAAGCAACAAGTCCTCTGCCGGGCGTGGCAGCCAACAGCCTATGACCCCCTCATCCAGTGGTGTGGGGGAGGGCTAGGCCCTGGAGCACCCTTGGGTTTCAGAGGTTGTACATAGCTTGTGTTGATGCCTGATGACCCACCTACCCCAGCCTGTGAGGCCTAAAGCCAGGCCTCTGGGAAATACATATAAACTTTCTGTTTAATCTGAATCCTTCCTGCCACTCCAACCTTGTCCACTAGCTAGACTTCTCTAGAGGTGCTACTGTCTGGGCCTAAGAGCCTCACTCAGCTGGGGGTCAGTGGGCTGGGGAGCTGGCAGTGACAGTTCTGAAACATCTCCCTGTGTGACCATTGTCTCTTAATCTGTTTGCCATGGTGTCCTCTGTGGACATTGGTGTTCCTAATTCCCTAACACAGAGGCGCGTCTGGCATAAAGGAGTTGCTGGAGAGGCTCCAGCAGGCTGAATGCCTGCTATCTTGACACTCCCTCTCTGGTCTGCCTTGACACATGAGCAGGCGGAGATGCAAGCACATATGCCCAGGCCTCCCTGGTGGAGGCGTAGACAGCAATAGGTGACAGAGTGAGCGGGAATTACAGCCTATGAGCCAGGCTTCTAGAAGAACTTCCACAACTTGGCCTTTGACCTGGCCTTGAAGGATTAGGGTCTTCCTATAGCAGACTCTGCAAGTATTAAGGCAGAAGGTGAGAGTGGTCTGGGAGCTGTGAGAAGTTGGTGTAACAGCAGGGCTAGAGGCAGTATAGATATCTTAACTCCCAGCACAGGCCTTCCTTCCCCTGCTTCCTTCCTCTCGGTCCCCTCTGATGCCTCAGGGCACCTGGCTGTTTATGGAAGGGGAAGGAAGCACTTCCTCCTGGGAAACCTGAGCTACAGAGTCCTCAGCTTCTCTCTGCCTTTGCCTATAAGGCTGGCCCTAAACAGGTCAGTTCCACCTTTTCTCAGACCTGCATTCTGCCACGTGGGGAAATGCTTGCCCAGAACCCAGCAGCAGTCCTGCTATCGTGAATGTGGCTAGGAGGGAGACAGCAGCTGCCCATCTGGTCTGGCTGTTCTTCTGAGCTTCCTTCATCTGCCCTAGGTCAATGTCACTCCAGAGCCTGACGATGAAGCAGAGCCTGCTGTGCTGGCCTTTGTCCGGCCTCTTTGTGGTGAGTTGGGGAAGGCCCCAGAGAAGCTGGAATAAGGAATCTGAGTGTACACCCAGCACTCTAGGAGGGGAGGGTACAGACACTGCTCAGGAGCCTCAGGCTCCTTCTGGGAAGAATCCAAGGCCTTCAGTCCTGGTGAGCATTGGCTAGCACTCCTTGGCATTTGGTAGTAGTCCTGCAGAGACAGACACAGCCTCTTCTACACATGACATGCATACCAGGGCATACAGTTTTCCCAAGCAATTCCTGCACGGGCTGGAGGGATTTCCTCCATTTGCAGGCATGGCTGAGGACAAGGTCCTTGCCTCTGGCAGATGTGGCAGGGACCTGGAAGAAATGGAATACCTCATGTGCTGGATGTTGGATCTGTATAAGCTGAAGAAAGCCCTGATTCCGGGGCTGAAGTCAGAGTACCCACAGACTTGCAGCCTTAGGCAGCACCTTGGGGTCTGATCTATGGTGGTCTTCCTACTTCCGAGCTTTGGAAGCTCAGGGGGAACAAGCTGAGGTCGCCACGAGGCAGCCTGTAACCTTAGCAGGTGCTGGGGCCAGGTCTGATATTCTGCCTGGAGAACCCTATCACTAGTAGCTGGGTCCACGTTGGGGGACAGAATCTTCCCACAGCAGGAGTCAGGGCAGGTAGTATCCAATTTAGTGGGAAGCACGGGGAGGTCACCAGATGGAGCTAGTAACCCATATCTAGAACAACATTCTTTTGGAGTGTGGCATGCCCTGTTTAGGTGCAGGCTATGAATGGGGTGGCCTTGGCATAGGAGGAGGTCACAGAGAAGGATGTGGTCTCAGACTCAGCCCAGGGCCCAGAATAGTAAGTAAGCACCAGCTGCAGACTTGGCTCTAGGCTCGATAAACAGAGGGTAGTTAATGACATGCTCAGCCTCGGGGGGGGGGGGGGGGGGGAAGGGGTGGGGGGGGGGGTCACGAGGGGGGGGGACAAGTTGAAAGTGGTGGTGGGGGGGGGGGGGGGGGGGGTGCACAGCAGGAAGGGAGACAATCTCAGAGGAATTCGGAAGTATTTCCTCCTCATCTGTCTGGGGTGAGGAGGTGTAACTCATCTGAAAGGGCAGTAATTCACAGGCTCGAGGGCTTGAGGTCCCGATCCCAGCTAGGCCTTTCCAGTATTTTCCAGAAGCATATGTAATTCTCTCTACCTAGACACTGGCAGTGCAGCAGAACTGGCTGAGGCAGGCCCTAAGAGTGCCCCTGAAGCCTGGCTAGGGGCCTGCGTCGTATGCAATTCATGCTCTGTTTAGGAAGGAGGTAGTGAGCAGAGGACCCTGAAGGCCCCATGCCTAACACTTCCTTCCTCCGTCACCATGTCCTCTGTTCCGCCTGCATCCTTCCAGCTGCTGCCCTGGCCTCTGGCCACTCCAACATCAATAACCCCTCGGCTGTGTCCACCTGGCAAGGAGCCGGACCTGGTGAGCGATGTGCTGTCCTGTCCTGGGAAGACTCCTGGGGGCAGAGGGGAGGCCTGGGCCTGGGTGCCAGAGACCTCTGGCGTGGCTCCTGGCCTTGTAACCCTCTTCCTCTCCCACAGGGCCCAGGGCAGGGCACATTATGCAGAACCTGCCCCCCAGGCACCTTCTCAGCCTCATGGGACTCCCAGCCATGCCAGCCTCATTACCGCTGCAGCCTTCAGAGGAGGTTGGAGGCCCAGCCTGGCACAGCAACTCAAGATACCGTGTGTGGAGACTGCCAGCCTGGGTGAGCTCAGGGTGAGGGTGGGCTCAGCTGGGTTGTTGGCCCGCTGTCCCCTGAGCGGGCCTCTCTTCCCATCTGTGAAATGGATGGGTGGGACCATTGGCACTTGGTAGGAAGGAATCCAGTTTTTCCTAAGGACCTCAGTGACGTCTTCCCTCCCTGCAGGTGGTCTGGGCCACAGGGAGCTCCTCATGTTCCGTGTCAGCCATGCTCCAGGGCACCTCCAAGTGCTGGTGGCTGTGATGGTGAGTAGTAGATGGTGAGACAGCAAAAGCTGTCAGTGAACTTGGGCCTGGGCGTCCCAGAAGCACTCATGTAGGGAACTAGGGGCCTCTTCCAGCCCGTAGGAGGACAGGCAGCCAGAGGTGATCAGCATATATGGTCAGCCACCTTGCTTTTTAAAAAATTTATATTTTCATTTCATGTGCGTTGGTGTTCTGTCTGCATGTATGTCTGTGTGAGGGTGTCAGATCCTCTAGAACTGGAGTTACAGGCAGTTGTGCACTGCCATGTGGGTGCTGGGAATTTCACTTGGGCCCTCTGGAAGAGCAGCCTGTGCTCTTAACTGCTAAGCAGCACCGCCACCTTGCTTTTGAGTCATAGTGACAACCCAGCATCAGGCAGCCACCATGAGGACTGGGGGTTCATATCCTGTTTGATCTTGTTCTCCCTAAAGATGCACGTGAGCATGCGCATGTACCTTTACACATACCTGTGAACACATACATGTATGTGACTCTTAACACGGAGCCCATCACCTCTTGTGACAAGGCACAGTCCTATGTCCCTTTGCCCAGGAGTTGACCATGTGTGTCTGTCATTTACACCATGCGCCTTGCCTGAGGGGCAGATGTAGGCTAAGGCCCAAGGAAGCCTCGCTGGATAATTGGATGGTTCAGGAAGAAGGGCATGAGCTGGCCCTTGTCTCCCTAGGGTGGAGGGTGAACTGAAAGGGAGTATCAGTTTCCCCCAGCTTTGTGCTCAGGTCTTTGGACCTGCTGCCACCATTCCTGCTCCCAGCCTCCTATCCAGACCTACCCATGGCTCCCAAGGCAAAGCCAAGGCAGGACATCAAGGCAAGATCACCACCTTGTCTGTGGTAAAAGTGTGCAGACACCGGACGTCAGGCAGAGAGCCTTTCTGGGACTGAGGAGGGCAGTGCCAGCCTAGCAACTTCTTGTATGATTTTTCTGTTTCCTTGTTTCCATCCTCTGTGGTGTTCAGAGTCAGGACGGCGGGCCCGGCGTGGCATTGAAGTGGCAGCAGGTGCCAACAGCAACGGTGAACCTCGGCAGCCTGGGAATGGCACTCGGGCAGGTGGTCCCGAGGAGACGGCTGCCCAGTATGCAGTGATCGCCATCGTACCTGTCTTTTGTCTAATGGGGCTTCTGGGCATCCTAGTGTGCAACCTGCTCAAGCGGAAGGGCTACCACTGCACAGCCCACAAGGAAGTGGGGCCCAGCCCTGGAGGTGGAGGCAGTGGTAAGATCTGGCTGGGTCCAGGTGGGGGCTAGGGGCTTTGAAGGGGGCTTCCTGGTCTAGGAGTCTGATAGGAGGCCTGCAGAGGGCTACTCTGGAAGGCCTCCTGGAGGTGCTGTCAGCAGCCTCGATGGCAACAGTGCAGACTGACATGGAGGATGGTGAGGTAGGGCAACAGGCAGAGAGAAAATGGCGAGCTGGGCAAGTGGTGTTGGTGAGGTTCCTGCTCTGCGTGAGGCCTTGCTCCACTATAGGGCTGGGACTCTGTTGGGGCAGCAGGCTACAGTTGTCGGATTCAAAGTGACCTCTAGTCTTTGGTCTGGAGCAGGAGAATGGCCTGCGTGGGGTGGGAGTGTGGAGTCACTATTCTGGCAGGCACCACGTAGGGTTCAGGCTTCAGCTCCACTGTGGTTTGAGACAAGCACTGGCGGAAGAAGGAGAGGGCCTTGGGGCCATTACTTTTTCTGCTTACCAGTGCTCCCGAAGGGTAGAGACCTCATGGGCATATGCACTGCTCTGGGCCCTCAGAAGCCTTTCTGGCCAAGTTAGGAGTGACACACACTTTTCACGCCAGCTTCCCAGGGCCCCTTCCAGTTCTTAACACTGAATTATGGAGTGAGTGAGTAGGAAGGTAGTGAGTCAAGGCCATTTTACCTAGGGGTGTTCTTGCCAGCTTAGTGACTTTAACTGCTGGCTGCTGCCTGGGTACACAATTTTGGAAACAAGCTTCTGGCTTAGGACCCATCACAGTGGTCCGTTCTCATTCCTTTGAGGTTTAAGCCCAAAACTGTTAAATAGTTCCATGGTGTTGGGAGTTCTGAGTAGGGAGAGCCTATAGTTCTCCAAGGCCAAGAGAGGCCCAGTGTCTACCTGGAAGAGGCTGGCACAGTATGCAGATGTTTAAAACATGGGGTTTTCAGATGGTCCTGAACACTTGGAGTCACTGGGTGCAGGATAATAAAGATGGTAGCATCTTTTTTGAGTCTTGGTAGCCTTGGGTAGTCTTGGGCCTATGGGGGTTGTCACCTGAACTGCACAGTAGATGCTGCTGTAACTCTGAGCAAGGTCTGTGGCGCCCTCTGCCAGCAGATCCTGGTGTAGCTTGGGAGCGCTGAGTCCCATCTTCCCTAGAATCTCGGATTCCTTTTGTTTTTCCCAGGGATCAATCCTGCCTATAGAACAGAGGATGCCAATGAGGACACCATTGGAGTCCTAGTGCGCCTGATCACAGAGAAGAAAGGTGAAGAGAGCGTCTTTCCGTTTCACCCCATGCCTGGGAGTGGGGAGTCTCCCAGAACCTTAGATAATACTTGGGGGAAGTCCTGCCAGCTTTGCCTCCCCAGTCCAGAGCCTCAGTCTGATGGGTGCTCTGACCCTGGGTGCTGCCCTTTTGCCTCTGATCTTGACTGGTGAGGGATGGAAGGACACCTGTTCAGGCCCTGGGACAGGGATGTGGGAGCAGGCGGGGGTTGTCTGCTGAGGGGTGGGGTGGGGTGCTCTGCTCCTTCAGTTTGGAGTTGGGTACTGACTCCACCTGCCCGCAGAGAATGCAGCGGCCCTGGAGGAGCTGCTGAAAGAATATCACAGCAAACAACTGGTACAGACGAGCCACAGGCCTGTACCCAGGTGAGGGATGGGGCCCTCAAACATCAGCTTACCTCCGGGGATCTCCACTTGGTCTGTTCCCTTTTACGTCACTGTGTCCCTTTTCTTGATGGAGTCTCCCTGCCCTGGCTTGCCCCAGTGACTATTTCTACTCCTCCTTCTGCAGGCTGCTGCCAGCTTCTCCCAGCATGCCCCACATTTGCCCACATCGCCACCACCTCCACACTGTGCAGGACTTGGCCTCACTCTCAGGCTCCTGCTGCTCCCGTTGTAGCCAGAAGAAGTGGCCAGAGGTGCTGCTGTCTCCTGAGGCAGCAGCTGCCACCACTCCTCCTCCCGCCCTCCTGCCCAACCCATCCAGGGCTCCCAAGGCTAATGCCAAGGCAGGACGTCAGGGCGAGATCACCATCTTGTCTGTGGGCAGGTAAGGTGGGCAGGTATAGCTGGGTCAGGCAATAACTTGACAGCCTGGAGATGGGCAGGTCCGTGGGTCAGTTTAGTGCTGATTAGTCTTTCCTGGGCATCTCTGGGTAGCGTAAGTGGCCAAAAAGTCACTATTTCGCAGCTATGCTATCTCACACAGAGCTCTTGGGTCCCTGAGGCATGGTCTTGGTGTTATCATACCTGGGACTTCTTAGGTCTGTCCCCATCTAACTAGATGTGGGCTTGCTGGGAAGTGGGAACAAATAGCCTTGTCTCTGGGGGGGCTGGAAAGGGCTCTTGTGCAGCATAACAGGCTCAATCTGTGATCTTGGAAGTTGCAGTGTGTCCCTGGTAGGTGTTGCCTTCTCTACCCTAGGATCCGCCTCTGATGGGGGATGTTGGTACCGCCCCTCCCTACAGGTTCCGTGTGGCTCGCATTCCTGAGCAGCGGACCAGTTCATTGTTATCTGAGGTGAAGACCATCACGGAGGCTGGGCCTTCAGAGGGTGATCTCCCTGACTCCCCACAGCCTGGTCTTCCCCCGGAGCAACGGGCACTGCTGGGAAGTGGTGGCAGCCATACTAAGTGGTTGAAGCCGCCAGCAGAGAGCAAGGCTGAGGTGAGGGCTGGGGCAGGGAATTGTGTTTGCACCTGGGTAAACCCTGACAGAAGAAAGGCCCAAGAAGGCAGTGTGGGGAGCTCTGCGTAGATGCCACTTTTCTGACGCCAAAGCAGCCTCTGACTCAGCTCTAACCCCTCAACCCTGACCCCCAGGAGAACCGCTACGTGGTCCGGCTAAGTGAAAGCAACCTGGTCATCTGAGGGGCTGTCTAGAATTAGACACCCTGCCCGGCCCTGGGAGGTTCTGAAGGCTTCCTGCAGGAGGGAGAGCTGCAGCTGGGACTGAGGACCAAGATGCAAAGGCCAAGTCCTGGAGGTGGGACCGTCCGCCTCATTGAGGAGGCAGCCTGCGGCGCGTGAGCAGGAGATCAAGAGCCCGCCCCATCCCTGCAGCCCTGTTACTTCCCTGCGGGGTGCCCTAACCCTGTGCCTGCCCTTGAACACATCATAGGAGCCCTCTGTCCCCTAGGGGTCTGTTTGATGGAGGAGTGGTGTCTGCCTGGGCCCCAGCTTGTGCCTTGGGAACTAGCCACTCTTGCTCATGTCCTGGACCCTGGATGTACCTCCCTGCCTTCTGGCAGGCCCTATAAAGGGAGAGGGTAGCAAAGAGCCCTGTGCTAGGGGCAGAGTACCTGGGTCCCAATCCTGGGCTCATCCTTAGGCTCTGAGTGTGAAGTGGGGGAGAGCTCAGTTCCCAGGACCTCCCCAGCTCTTTGCAGACTCTAGGCTGAGTCCTGTTTTGGGGAGCTTGACGTTTCTACCCTCCCATTAGTAGCTTTATCTGGCCTGTTTTTGCTGCTTCCCAGGCCTTGGCCTTTAAGGCTCCCGTGGGACTGTCTAGTATGGTGATGCCTTCAGAAGGGGCTTCGTGCATGTGCCTGCCCCTACCCTGCTCTTTTTAATGAAACTGATAAATGACTTGACTTGGACAGGGCTCTCTGGTACAGAGCCTTGGTCCACCCTGCTGCCATCAAGCTCTAGAGCTGTGGGAAGAGGAGGCTGCTGGGCTAGAGTGCCTCTGGCCTGTGGTTTCCACGACCCTGTGGCAGTGTCTGCCTGAGTTTTGGGCAGCAGGGATGACTGCCAATCCAGCCTGTCTTAGTCCCTGATCTGGCTCGGTGCATCGTTATTTATGTGGGGCCGTGCGGGCACGGGGCCCGCTGCCCATCCCATTCCTTATTTATTGAAACCGGCTGTCGCCCTGTCCCTACATCTCCAGCCTCACACACTTGAGTAATAAAAGGCAGAAAGTGGTGTCTTGAGGTGCATCCTTGCCCTGTATCCTCTCTGGAAAACTGTTTGCTTACCTCATACTTCCAGGGGCCTGGCCAGGTGCGCTACACATTGTCCTTTCCCTCCTCAGCACCTTCCTCATTCTCACCAAAGTCTCCAGAGGCCAGGCTTCCCAAGAGAAAGATGGGCTGAGGCATATGTGCGATTGAAAGTGTTATAATCATTCCAAAAAAAAATTTTTTTTAAATGGGGATAAACTTAAATATTTTAACCTGTTATATCCAGAACATTTTCACTGTGATATAAAATCATTATGAAAATTATGAACTTTTCCCCTTCAGTTTAGTCTTATGTATTTTGCACATCTTAACATGGACTAATGTATTTCATGGGCACAAGAGCCATGTTGTGAGTGGCAACTGCTCTAGTGGAAGCTCAGAGTGTGGGAGGGGGGGTGTGACCCATAAATTGGGAGTAGCATGTGCAAAGGCCAGACCAATAGGTAGGAAGGGCATTTGGAACACAGGTGGGCAGGAGAGTCCAGTCCATTGTTTTAGAAAAAGGTCTCAGGGCAGACCCTAGCGCCTGGCAGTAAGAAAGCCATCAGGTTCTGGTAGCCAAGAATGGGTGTAGAGTTTGGACAAAGTTCGCTGAGAGGCCAGGCAGGCTGTTATGTGCCTTAGGGGGTAGACAGGGTCTTGGTGAGTTTAAGGGATGTGACGAGAGCTGGATTAGTGCTAGGTAAATCGAGAGATACCATCCCATATTAAAGTCACCGTGGCTGGTGAGACCTTAAGTTAGGGTTTTTGTGTGTGGTATACTGTTTAACATGGGAGAGAGTGACACATGCAAACACTACTGGCTATCCCATGGAGGCAGAAGGACTGGAAACTGATAAAACTTGTGAGGTATGGAAGCCTGGCCTGGAGAGAGGACCAGCTGGCTGTGCCAGGACTTCAGAAAGCCTAGCTTTTTTGAGGACAGTAGTCTTCTGGGCAGAAACCAAGGTAGGTGGCTAGCTTAGCAGTGGCAGGAAAGAAAGGAAAAAGAGAAAAGAAAAAAAGCTACCTCTGACAGGATGAGCAGATGTTTTGAGAACCCACCTCTCCCTCCTCTCTACAGCCTTTGGGTACAGGGTCCTCTGGGACTGTGAACTGGGAGTAGACAAGGTCTCCCTCTGTGTATCCAAGGAAATGGCCCCGATGGCTGCAGTGTGCACTGGGCATCCATTTACTGTTATCTCAGGGTTTGGCTACTCAAATTTGGCTGTCCGTTCAGCCAACTCATGTACCCCAACTTATCTAGAATTTGGATAACACAGCCACTTGGGTGGCATGTGAAGATAAGTGTCCTGGAGGGTGAGGCAGGAGGTAGGACCTCATCAATTGTCTGGGAAGGCTAGATTAGCGACACATTCGGATACCAGTCAGGGTGGAGATACCACGTTCAGGCTTCCAGGCTGGTAAGAACGCTCCTATCACTATGAGCACTACTCTAACCTGCTCCTGCTTGCTCAAAAAAAACCAACTTGTTTCCTCATTTGCTTGTGTGTCTCCCCAACATCAGGGCAAAAAAATGATGTAGATGTATGACATTCTTGGTCTCCACAACCCCACAACTTCCCTTGGAAACTTTCCTGCAAACCCCTGTAGCCCTCTCAGTGGGTAGAGGTAGGAGTTGGAGGGAAGAGCAGGTATTGGAGTCCAATCTCTAGCACTCTGCCCGTTACCAGACAATAGCCCTGCCATTGTGATCTAGAGATGAGCCTAAGATGATCCATCCTATCCCAGATAAGGTGCCCTCTCCTCCCTTCACCAGGTCCACAATGGATCATAGAATGGAAGGCTGGGAGGATGTCAAGAGGCAGAGTGAGGCTTAGTGTACCAATTTCCAGTTCCCACTGCAGCATGGGCCAAGGTATGTCCACTGGAACAGCAGGTTGCCTCTGTGTATCTTCACCCCATGGAGGGTTTTAGTGATTCTTGTTGGGGATGGAACTCAGAGCCTTACCCAAGCTAAGCAGGCCCAGTGTCTCTGCGTTCCACTCCTGCCCTTGTAAAGTTTTCAAACATTATTGAACCTAATACAACCGTGTTGAGTAAACATAGGGGCACACACCTAATCACTTTTGGCCAGTTTTTTTCAACAGTTGAACATTGAGTCTTTGGCCTATTAGCTGTGGAACATGAACTGTGAGGGCCAGGCCCTGGGAAAGAAAACTAGTTGGATGCCTAAGCCTGTGGCAGTTTGAAATGAGAATGATCCCCTTAAGGCTCATTTATTTGAATGCTTAGTCCCCAGTTGGTGCAACTGTTTCAAAATTAGGAGGGGAGCAGGCTTTGAGGTTCCAAAAGCCCATGCTTTGGAGGGGGTGGTGGCACACACCTTTAATCCCAGCACTTGGGAGGCAGAGGCAGACAGATCTCAACCTGGTCTACAAATCAAGTTCCAAGAGAGCCAGGGCTACACAGAGAAACCCTGTCTCAAAAAGCCATGCCATTTCCAGGTAGCTCCTGTGCACATGTTTTCCGTCTTTCAGGTAAGAATATGCTGCAGTGGTGATTACGGATTCATCCTCTGAAACTTTTAAGTCCCAATAAACTCTTCTGTAAGTTGCCTTGGTTACGGTACCTTCACAATAGAAAAGTAATTAAGACAAAGCCTGAGCAACATTGGCAGTGGTATCACACTGAAGGGAACAGGACATCCAAATGTACAGGAGGGAAAAAAGAGTCCATAATGACTGGTTTGTATGAGGCCCTGTGAACTTGTAACAAGTCCTGGAATAAGCCACCAAGACCCCCTTGGTTTCCTATCTGATGCTCCCTCACTACTTTGAGGAGAGGAGACTACATCCTTTAAGAAAATGTCTGAGATGGGCCTGGATTCTAGAACCAGAAAAAGTATGATTTCCAACTTCAATGTTACAATGTCCTTCCCTCCTTAACTCCCCTCTCACGTTGGACAAGTAGCAGAACTTCCCTCACAGCAAGGCATGAGGACCTCAAAGGTCAACGAGCAAGAAGTGAATAGTAAGAACCAGCCATAAGACACTCAAAAAATGGCAGGGTTTTTGTTACTGCTTTTCCTTTTTTCTTTCTTTTTGATGCTAGGGGTCTCTCCCACACAGGTACCACTGAGCCATAATAGATGTTCACTCTTTACTAGCTTCCCTGGATTTTGTCTGGTCCAGGTGCTAAACCTGCCACTTCACAGCTCCCATCCACTGTGCCCCATCGCAGTCTAGAGAAGACACAGAACTCAGAATTGCTTGTTTTCTTTTTTGAGACTCATATATAAATGTGTGTATGAATTTTATGTGTATGAATGCCTGCATGTAAGTGCACCAACCACGTGAGGGCCTGGTGCCCCCAGAGACCAGAAGGTGGCATGTGTTCCTCTGGAACTGGAGTTATGGATGGTTGTGAACTACTGTGGGTCCTGGGACTCAAACCCTGGCCCTTTGTGAGAGCAGCCTGTGCTCTAACCACTGAGCATCTCCACATCCTTTGAGACACAGCCTTCAAGTTGCAATCCTACCCCACTTCCAGAGTACTGGGGTACCAGGTGTGTACTCAGAACAGGTAAAAAAAGCTTAGAATTCCCTGGGGGAGAAGGGCAGGGACTCACTGGCTGGAGGTTGTCTGTGCCTCCCTCACCCAAGAACCACTTTTTGTTGTTAGTTTTTCTTTTGGGAAACTTTTTTTTAATAGTTGAATGTTCTACAGCTTACAGTAAATATCATAGTTACAAACTCTTGGCTTCAACCTTTCAAAGTGATCACTATCTGATCTTCAAAACAAAACAAAACCCAAAGGAATCCAAAACAACAAAACCAGATTTACACTTCATACACACAAGCGTGGCCACAGAGCTTTCTAATCTAACACTCCAGGCTGTGTTTTGGAAACACCTATAAATTATTTGATGAAACTACTTGGAAGACACCGGTCAAAGGTTTATTATTATAATTATTATTATTTTTAATGTTTTTATTTGTTTTTAAAATGTGAGTTCCAATAAAATTTAAAAATTAGATTCCAACCTGTAGGTTAAAATGAATTAAAAAATACAAAATCATACACAACGCTCTCTTCACAGGGATGTTACATGCCATGAGAACAAGCTTCTCTGTCATGTGATATGAAAGGGATGCAGATGCCTTGAAGACAGGAAGGGGACAGGCCCTGGGCCTTCAAAGATCAAAGACAACTCCAAGGTGCAGGAGGCCTAGCCTTGCATCACCCTGTAAGGAGCTTGGTTCACAAGCCAGTAGATCTGGCTGACCTGAGGTCTCTGGGCCAGTCCTATTCTTCATTGAATCTGACTTTCATGCATGAGGAGGATGGCTGGAACCTGGAGGATGACTGAGATGGGGTCAAGGACAGAGGATGCTAGCCCAAAGCCGATTCCTGTGGGCTGCTGCTATCTGCAAAGCTGTCTTACCTGTTCTCGTGGGAAAGAAAATTATCCCTCAGACTGGAATGGATAAAAGGACACACTGCCCACAGCAGGGATACCTAAGGACTACTGATGTAGCAGCCACAGAGAAGCAAGTGCTTCTTTGTCTTCTATGTTCCTCTTTGGCTCTGTGGCAACCAGTTTTAACTCCTATGTTCTTGGCTGGCCTTCTGGCTGGCATCAACAGTATATAAATTAGGAAATACCCACAGGAGAAACTGACGGAGTGGAACCTAAATCTGGCTCAGGCAAGTTTGGCCATGAAATATTTAAGCTGACCTACTGGGATTTTGAAGGCCGAGTCCTGGAACCACATAATGCCAGATTTCAGGAGTGTTTTTTCTAGGAGAGGGAATGGGAGTAGGAAAAGGACAAGCCTTGCTGCCAGCCTGGCATATCCACAAAGTCTGCCTAGAGGCTCGGGTGTTGTCTGACCAGTGAGTCTGGCTAAGTTTCTTCCACTGATATGCTCCCCTTTGTCCACTTCAATCCAGAGTACCCTTCTCTAATCTCTCAAGCTTGGGAGGCCACACACTCAGCAGTGATACGGTTAACACAAG